TGTCTCTCTGTGTGTGTAGAAGAGGAATAATTAGTAATACTTTTTCTAATATGAACTTTGAAAGAAAGCTGAAATCTTACTGAACTTTTAAAAAGAAAGCCCCAATATGTATGTAGGATCCTAAAATAAACATGAAATACAGTATTACAAGGAAGATGAAAGTTCAGAAAAACCTAACAGTAACATTTTCAATATTTTCTTAGCAGTTATTTCCTACTCTTGATATTTTATACATTATTTTTATCTTAATTAGCAGAACAAAGGACTTAATAGAACAGAATTGGCTGTTAACTAAATTGTTTAGATTTTCAATCAGTGAATAAGGAATTAAGCACAAGAGAGATTTTACATTATTTATACCAAAATATTCACTTAATAACCAATATAAAGTATCCTTAACCAGAAAAAAACCTAAGTATGTTAGTATCTCTATTTTTTTTTTTTTTTGAGTTGGAATCTCACTCTGTCGCCCAGACTGGAGTGCAGTGGCCGCTCCTGGCCACCACAGCCTCGACCTGCTGGGCTTCGGCAATCCTTCCACCTCAGCCTTCCAAGTAGCTGGAACTACAGGCACGTGCTACCACACCCGGCTAATTTTTTGATTTATTGTAGAGATGAGGTCTCGCCAAGTTGCGGCGGGTCTCGAACCCACGGACCCAGGCAATCCACTCACCTCAGCCTCCCAAGGTGTGGGATTACAGGCTGAGCCACCGAGCCCGGCTATCTCTATTTTTAATATAAAATAATTACTATAATATCAGTTAACTATTTACTACTAAGTTAATCAAGCATGACTTATAAAAATTTTTTTTCTCTCAGTTTCCAACATATAATTTCTATGCCATTTAGATTTTAAAATGTTAGGACTAATTCAACACAACTACTTAGAGTACCTTAAAAGCATCAACAGTATTTGGGCACTGAATGCATTCTACTATTAAAACATTAAAAGAAAAATTACTGTACCTAGATCCCACGGCGCCATCTCCAGAGTCTTGGCTTCCAGCTTCACTTGGAGTGCTCACAGATTTGGAGGATGGAGACATAGGAGGAGGGACTAAATAGTGAAATAGACAGGTATCCGCTGTTACTACACGGAGAGGTTGCTCAGCTTATGACGTTTCAAAAATAAGTTAACATGAAGTAATTAACAAAAAAAAAGATGGCAAACCAAAAAATAAAAATACATGAATGAAAATGAACAGTAGAAAGAAAGAGGAAAAGACAAAGTTAACAACGCATGCTGAAGATTCATGCAATATCTTTGGCAAAATGCATTTGAGATTTATATTTTTTTAAAAAAGGCAAGATTATGGAAGGATAAATCATCTCATCCATCACCAAATGTGGCTACTAATTTTCAAAGGAGAGCATTCCTTCTCCTCTAACTCTCACTTTTAATATCAGTATTATTTACAATTGCTTCCAAAATTAAACTAAAATATGCTTAAGTCATTTAATCTTTAGTTTTCTGATATTTACTTTAAAATATTAATTTTTGTCTAACAATTTTTTTCTTTTTTTTTTTTGAGTTGGAGTCTCACTCTGTTGCCCAGACTGGAGTGCTGTGGCTGCTCCCGGCCACCGCAGCCTTGACCTGCTGGGCTCCAGCGATCCTTCCGCCTCAGCCTTCCAAATAGCCGGAATTACAGGCACGCGCTACCACACCCGGCTAATTTTTTGATGTATTGTAGAGATGAGGTCTCACCAAATTGCCCAGGCGGGTCTCGAACCCTTGGGCTCAGGCAATCCACTCACCTCAGCCTCCCAAAGGCGCGGGATTACAGGCTGAGCCACCGAGCCCGGCTAATTTTTTTCTTTCAAAAACTAATGTTTTAAAATTATTTTACTCTCCCCACTCACTCCAACCCCGGCCACCAAGAAAAGGGCAAATTAGAGAAATGACTGCAGTTAAAGGAATGGCTCCTTTAAAATGTTCATTAGTTTCCAGCAATTTGGGTGAAAAATGCAAACAGGCCATAAAACAGCATGCCTTCTAGACATGATGCATAACATAAAGTGATGCATGCAAATTAAACAAGGCAAGACTTATGGTAACTTCCTTACCCCAGTATTCAGAAAAAACTGAAGTGTACAGACAAAGATACAGACACCCAAAATATTCTTAATCCCTTCTTATAGAAAAATACACATTTTTTCATAGTATATAAAATAAACAGCAAATGCTTTCTCCTAAATTATCAACTTTAACATCATATAACAACAACTGAACGAGCATATTTCATGCTATGATGTTTATAAAACTTTTTGATTACCGTTGCAGGGAGTATAGGAGGATCATCACTGCCATCTTCTGGTTAAATTTTACCATAAGTGTCCCCAATCCCAAGTATCTTTTCAAAATAATTTTTCAATGTACAATATTAAGTGACTAATACATTCTATGTTGAGCTGAAAGCCCTTCTTTTAATAGTCTATTGAAAAGAAGGTAAGTTCCTAATTACATAGGAACTAAAGAAATAATTATTTCATTAAAAGTCTGGTTTTAGAAGTCACATTCAACGAACCCTTAAAATTATGTTTAAATGTTTATATATGCTGCAATAAAACAACATGTACAAATGTAGTATGATGACTTACATCTTAAACATAGGTACAAAAATCTGATTCTCCTTATTTTTTCAATGGCAAATTCTATTTGCAACCAATAATATTAGAAGGAAAAAAAAACATAGCTAAAATGTTTGTCTGATAAGACAAACTGCAAAGGATTATAATAATACTATCAATGTTTCTACTATCGTGATTAAATTTTTCAGAAACTATTATAAGACCAGGTAGTTTCATATTACATGTGAATGGCACTGTGCTAGGTGCTGCATGTATAATTCAAAGTAGCTAAAAACAGCTTTTATCTAAAGTTGAAGAATATTAATGTCCCCTAATTTCTCTTAAGTTACACCCCTCACTGTGTAGCTTCTCCTAGTCTAAGTCCCAACTAAAACAGAAATAAAAACTAATATCTAACAGCTGCTTGCCTACTGTGATGTAAACACAAATAAATGTTATTAATTTTTTTTTTTTTTGAGTTGGAGTCTCACTCTGTCGCCCAGGCTGGAGTGCAGTGGCACGCTCATGGCCACCCAGCCTTGACCTTTCAGCGATGAGTTTCAGCGATGCTTCCGCCTTAGCCTTCCAAGTAGCTGGAACAACATGCGCCCAGCTAATTTTTTATATATTGTAGAGACGAGGTCTTGCCAAGTTGCCCGAGCTAGTCTTGAACCTGTGGATTCAGTCAATCCACTCGCCTCGGCCTCCCAAAGTACTGGGATTACAGGCTGGGCCATCTAGCCTGGCCATTTATTAAATTATAGTGAGGCACCATAATGTATTCATATTAAATATTTTTAAAGAAGAGCTTCTTGAATTCTTTAAATTATATATACTTAATACTTAACTTCATACCTAGAAAAATAATTTTTCCAAGTATATATATTACAGAGTATGAAGGAAAATAGTAAAATTCCTATCAACTTATTTGTGAAGAACTATAGAATCCTTTTCCATTCAACACGCTTTTCCTCCTTTCTGGCGACTTCAAGTATCAATGACTCCACTCAGCAAATTTAGGAGTATCTTACTAGGTTAAGACTACATTTTAAAAACATGTTAACCAAAATTATTTATGGAAACAGGCTAAATAGTAACTATGCATTAACCTAGCTAATTCTGAAATAATATTTCAGAAATAAAAAAAAATGGTGATGTTACCAAATTACCACAGTTTCTTAGCCAAACTAAGGCAAAATAAATGACTGTGACTTCACATTTATAATTAGATTTTAAAAATCTCCATCCCAGAACTATATTCTTTCTGCCATAAGTAAGTTTAAGCCAGATAATGAACAGGACCCATAAAGGACTCAGTTATTATCCTTCCCACAACTTAATCCTGCAATAATAAATAATGTATACTAGAGAAGGGATAAGCCTGGAACAAGAAAATTACTACTGGTACCAAAGGAAAAATGTTAACTTTTTTTTAGATTAGAAAATATAGTTTATTTAAAAGTAAATTAGAGAGAGAGAGAGAGAGAGGGAGGGAGAGGAGATTTACCTCCTCAAGGTAGGGGAGGGGTTCAAAGCTAGGAAACATGGTGACAGCCATAGTTCAAAGAACACGTGGCCACACCAGAGTCTAGTAAGGTAATGGCCTGAATTTTTAATTTTTTAAAGAGAATCATAATGCTATTTGATGACTATTACATTTTAGCCCAAATAGTCTAGAAAAATCAAAGAATACCATAATTATGCAATAAGGCAATGTCATCATGCTCCCAGACTTCAACAAATTTATGCAAACAAATGAAAGTACGCATTCCGAGAGCTAAGAAAAACAAACAAAAAACAAACAACTGAACAGCTCATAGGTTGTCAAATCTAAGAAAAGATTCAGTTCTGGAATTTATTTTTAAGGATGGGTTATGAATCAGCCTTGAAAATAGCATAAGCCATTAATAATTAGTATTTGCCAAGTATTTGAGATATGACTTGCTTAGTAAGACAGTGATTCAATCAGATTATCTTTACTCCATAGTTTTATATATAAAATTGCCTAAAAGAGGATTTACATGGTATAAAATAAAGGAATTAATATAAACACACGTGAACATGTTAATGAATTTCAGCTTTTTAGAGCAAAGATACCTATTCCCTTCTTTGATAACCAAGAAAGAAATATGAAGTAAAATGGAAAAAAAGAAATCTGTACCATGGCATTTACTAATCATGTAAGTAATGTTAAAAAGACTATGGATTTCTAATTCTCCAGGACAACAAGCCAATCAAGAAGGTCTTTCCTACCAGGTTAGACCTTGGCCTTTCAAGGATGTAAAATTAACATTGCTGCCTCCTGGCCTGTGAAGAAACAACTAGAATATTTCTAAACTGCAAAGGACCTGGGAATGCACCCAGATTTAGAATTAGTATTAAGTCTGGGTCCAACACTCAGAACTACACAGAAGCCTCAAGGACAAAGGATGGAGCACAGTGCAATTATTTTTCAAGTAGAAGAAAGCCTCTCAACAAGGAGGAGCTTGTATCAAAAAGAAGGACCTAGAAAAGATAGACGACCATGGAAAATTAATATAGGGAGTGGAAGTGTTGGTAGAAGACAGTGAGTGGAAGGAGTAGGGTTCTGGGAAGACCCAAAACTGTGAGGTGTCTTCTAATTCCTCAATACTCAGTACTCAAACACAGCCCATGTTACAATAATGCCCCCTTGTGGATACACGTGTTTCTAGAATAACTTTTTTTTTAAGAAAATAGGATTCATGGAGAGGACAGAAAAGCTCCCACAGTGGGAGGGGACCGGACGGGGTTGCCCAGAATATTAACATTTAAATAGCTTTTTGTCCTTCTGAAAGACGTTGCTTTAAACCATAACTCTGAAATCTCAATTTCTCCCTTTCCTATGTTCTTTCTCTTGATAGTGAGGTTTTAAATATCCTCCACTAATCTCCCTTAAATGTTTCATTTCCTTTCTCCTTTTCAAGTAATTCAGAGCATTACTTTTTTAAAAAAAGAAATTAACACATAAAAATAAATTTATAAAAATCCTTTAAGGAACCAATATTCCTTATCATGGAAAAATTTGCTAAAACGTTTTTTTGAGTTGGGGGGGTCTCACTCTGTCATCTAGTGAACCATCATGGCTCACCAAAGCCTCAAACTCCTGAACTCAGGTGATCCTCCCTTCTCAGACCCCCAGTATGTGAGACAATAAGCTCATGCTACCATGGTCTGGCTAACTTTTTTTCTTTTTTGTAGAAAGGATGTCTTGCTATATTGCCCAGTCTGGTTTCAAGCTCCTGGGCCCAAGCAATCCTCCCACCTTAGCCTCCCACAGTACTGGAATTACAGGCCTGAGCTACTGTGTACCTGGTCAAATTTTGTTAAAATTAAACTAAACTTGAAAAATTACTTGGTTACATAAAAAGTACTCTATCTAAAAATCAGATTCAAAATATTCAAAAGTTGCAAGGAGAGGGAGGGTTAGAAAAGTAAAGCAATGCTTATTTTGACTAGTAAACTTTTGTTTCTTCCTAATAAAAGAAAATTCAGATAATAAGCTATCATAGTAATCAATGTACTCTGTCCTACTGATAGATACAAGATTCAGACTATAAAGTAAATGATGATATGTTTTCATTTCTTTACAAGATGGTTACAATAGTTGTTATACATACAAAAGATATTTTTTTAAAAATATCATTGATGTGAAAGAAATTCACATTTAATATCACATATCTTGATAGCTGTGTCTAAAATTAACTGTTTTAAGACTGGCCACTTGAATTTAGTAAAAGAAAAAAATCAAGCCATGTGTTGTATGAAATATTCAAGTTTCAATTTCTACCACGCATTTTCTTAAAATTTAAACAATAAGTTTTGGTTGTTGTTGTCTTAAAGCAGAATGGGGTTTTGTTTTTTGGGTTTTTTTTGAGTTGGAGTCTCACTCTGTCGCCCAGACTGGAGTGCAGTGGCGGCTCCCGGCCACCGCAGCCTCGACCTGCTGGGCTCCGGCAATCCTTCCGCCTCAGCCTTCCGAGTAGCCGGAATTACAGGCATGTGCTACCACGCCTGGCTGATTTTTTTATTTATTGTAGAGATGAGGTCTCGCTGCCCAGGTGGGTCTCGAACCCGTGGGCTCAGGCAATCCACTTACCTCAGCCTCCCAAAGGCGCGGGATTATAGGCTGAGCCACCGAGCCCGGCTAGCAGAATGGTTTTTATTTGGCCTTACGAAATGAGAAGACATATGACATAGCAATAACTGAACATCTAAGTGTCTAGCCTGTGCTGGCATCAGGGATAAAAATGTAATATATCGTCCCTGTTCTCAAGAATATCTAACAAAAAGCAGTCAAAATGACCAAATAAATAAGAATCTACTAGCAAAGTAAAGTTAAAAGAGGTTTTATTAGCCATATCTTTTTTTTTTAACAAATTCTTCTTAGTCAATTTTTTTTTTTTTGAGTTGGAGTCTCACTCTGTCACCCAGACTGGAGTGCAGTGGCCGCTCTAGCAATCCTTCTGTCTCAGCCTTCCAAGTAGCTGGAACTACAGGCATGCGCTACCACAACTGGCTAATTCTTGAATTATTGTAGATATGAGGTCTCACCAAGTTGCCCAGGCAGGTCTCGAACCCGCGGGCTCAGGCAATCCACTCACCTTGGCCTCCCAAAGTGCTGGGATTACAGGCTGAGCCACTGAGACCAGCCTTTAGCCAAATTTAAAAAAGGAAAATTGTTTTTAAGAAACAATAGATTGATTTTTTAAAAATAAATACTCACATATTCTAGTATTGTCTTTTTTACTTCTGCAAATTAAAAATATTTAATAAATTCTCAGGGAATACATTCCATAGTAAAAAGAAAAATAAATACCCACCTTGGGTTATGATACAGAGTATATTATTTTTACTGTAGGTTACTGTCAAAAAAGTTTGACAGCCTTGGCCTTCAACTACATTCTGCATTCTTCAGGCCAAATTATAATAAATACTGGACTTAATGTTGAAACCTTAGGCATGTGTTTTAAGGATTATGAAATGCTAAATTTAGCCTAACTTCCTAATGGTGATGAGATCTTCATAAAGACTTTAACCCTTTACAGTTTCCATTATAATGGTAAATCTGCCAATAAGAGATGGGAAATGGTTTAGAAACAAGAAGCTCAAAGAAAGGATCTGTGTATAGATCTGACTTGGAAGCTTCAATCCTTAAATCAAAGAACAGCAGATCTTTTGTTCATTTCCCTAGTTATTTGATGAGACTCTTTACTCAGTGTGAATCAGCTCATGTTGCTTTGATAAACATAATCTCACATGCCTTTACCTTATTTAAAATTTCAAATAAATATAATGAGCTTAAGAAATAAATTAGAGCCGGCTCGGTGGCTCAGCCTGTAATCCCGTGCATTTGGGAGGCTGAGGTGAGTGGATTGCCTGAGCCCGCGGGTTCGAGACCAGCCTGGGCAGCGAGACCTCATCTCTACAATAAATCAAAAAATCAGCCAGGCGTGGTGTCGCGCGCCTGTAGCTCCAGCTACTTGGAAGGCTGAGGCAGAAGGATCGCCGGAGCCCAGCAAGAGAGGCTGCGGTGGCCGGGAGCGGCCACTGCACTCCAGTCTGGGCGACCGAGTGAGACTCCGACTCAAAAAAAAAAAAAAAAAAAAGAAAGAAATTAAGAAATTAAAGCAATGACATTTGACTTTTTCAAAGCATATTTGTTTAGTGCCCTGCGCTGTTCTATCCTCACCAGAATTGAATCTTCGCTCTTAATTACTGAGAGTCAAAAACTCTCAAGTTAAACAGATAAACTGATATTAATCAAGAGGAAGATACTATTCTCCCCTCAAAAAACCTTTGTTGAAAATTATGCCACATAATATATTTGGTAAAAAAATTTTGCTAATTACTAACAATTTATTTACAAAATAATAGATTAAATATGCTGTTTTCCTCATCTGCCCCCCCCAGTAATTAATACAAGTATACAACAAAATTTAAGCCACATATAAAATGTTCTTTAAAATGTTTCAGTAGGCCATCTGCAGTGGCTCATGCCTATAATCCCAGCACTTTGGGAGAATGAGGTGAGAGGATTGCCTGAGCCCATGGGTTCAAGACCAGCCTGGGCAACTTGGTGAGACCTCATCTCTACAATAAATCAAAAACTTAGCCAGGCGTAATGGCATGTGCCTGTTGTTCCAGCTACTTGTAAGGCAGAGGCGGAAGGATCGCCTGAGCCCAGCAGGTCGAGGCTGTGGTGGCCATGAGCATGCCACTGCACTCCAGCCTGGGTGACAGAGTGAGACTCCAACTCAAAAAAAAAAAAAAATCTTTCAGTAGCAAATCACATTCACTAAATAAAGACATTTTTATTTAAAGATGAACCTACTTACTAAATTATCTCTCTATGGTTTAATTTAGCAATAACATTAAACTAATAGTTCGAGGTTTAGTGACATACTTGCCCTTTACCTTTATCTCTCGTATCTACATTCACAGACAAAAAAAATTATCATAAAGAAAACATGGGAATGACCTCTAAGTATGACTGTGTCCTTCTAAAGTTTAGAGTCTAAACATGCACGTTACATAACTATAAAAATATAGTACTAATGATACAATATTTACCTCAAGTAAAAGCACATTTTTTCTAGTTCTAAATGATTAAGATAAAATCAGTTTTTTATTGGTTAGAAATAACTTGTCAAGAGATATTTTCATCTTAATAAACTTTTCTCAGAGTCAGCTCTCAAAAATCAGAATTACCTAATTGAGGATATAACTGTGATAACTGAAGGCAGGATATAGCTATGATTAAACAAACCAGTCTTTAGTCTATAGTAGTTCGGGCTAATGACCCATTTAAGAGACTCTCCCACTTAAAACCCTCCTATTAAAACTCTTTCTATCACTTAGGCAGCCCTAAATAATCTGGTCTCCACTTACTCCTCTCTCTTCATTACAATGCAACCACACAACCCTAACTAAGCCAAGGTCTACTCAGAAACCTGCACTCACCATTCCCTCTGTCTGGAATGTTCCTCCTCTCAACTTAGCATGGCTGGCTCTTTCTGGACTTTCTGATTTCACTTTACAAGTCCACTTCTCAAAAAAAAAACTTCCTGAACACCCTGTCTAATGTTACCCCTTATAGTCTCATTCTATCATATCACCACGAGAATCTATCTCCCCTATAAGAACACATGCTCCAAAAGAGCAGGGCCTCTTGTCTGTATCGTTCAAAACCCCGTCTCCAAGTCTGGTTTAAGAAGGTGCTTAACAAATATTTTTTTGAATTAATGAATAGATAAACCATTTTTTAAAGTACTAGAACTAAATAATGAAACACTAGCTATTTGGGTTTCAGAAAGCATTGTGTCAAGTTGTTCTAATTGGCTCAAAGGAAAGTCAAATTTATGGGACATTCCAAATCACCTGAATCTTAGGTTATATATTTATACCATATTAGTTTTATAATCAGCTTTATATGCAAAATGATAACCCAGCCCTCATTTTTTAAAAAAAGCTTAAAGCTGATAAGAAGAGCTCTTATCACATCACTTTCCTGTATGGAAAGACCTGTAAATGATCTTCCAACAGTTCCTTCACAATGTAGCTTACCCTCAATTTCCATATTCTTTCTCCTCCCACTCTGGCAGCCAAAGTGAATCACTTGCTATTTCTCTGAGTATACCCTAACCTTTTCAATTTTCATGTCTCTGCTCACTTTCTGTCTGGAAGGTTCTTCCCTTTTCCTATCTGTGCACATTAAAATCCTATATACATGGGGCATCAAAAACTGTATTTCACAAGTATCACAAATAACATTCATTTACCCGTATCAGTCACAAATTCTTGAGGGATGTTCTGAGGAATTTCAACATTTTAAAAAATTATACCTAATTCTCTAGTTTCTTGGTATGTCTGAATAACATAACTGCTGTCAGATATAGGAAGCATGAGTTTTATTAGAATAAGGATCAAAGAAGTGCAAACAGACAAGAAACAATACAAAAGTCCAATTATACTTAAGGTTCATTTGTCTTTCAGCACAAAACTGAAAATTTAATATGCAACTTGAATACTAGTGACACCCAAATTCTCAATCAAATGTGTTCCATACCAATCTAAATTTTTTCATCATCTCTTATCAGGATTGTAATAATGTGATCCATTTGAGGTTATACTCGCAGATCAGTCAGCACCTTTACTATACGAATAAAATGGTTTGGAAACAAGAAGTTTGGTAAGAAAATTAGGGAAAAAAACCCTGGTTGTTTGAAAAATTAATTAAGACAAACTTCTTGCAAGGAAAATAAGATAAAATGTGAGCAAGGTATAAAATGGAAAAGGGAAAATAACTGTACATGTACTGAGAATAGAAAATTACTAAGGAATTATAAATAGCTCTATGCTAGTAAAGTTGAAACTTAAGGTGAAGCAGATAAATTCATACAAGAAATAAAACGCCAAAACTGATACAAGAACCCAAATGATTTTATGGGAAAATTCAAACAAATGTTTAAGAAATAAAAAATTCCAAAATTATACAACCTTTCCAGAGAATAGAAAAAGGTAGAAAACCACATAACTCAATTAATGAGGCTGGTAGAACGATTATAATAAAACCAGACAAAATATAGTAAATGGAAAAAAGATTATACACCTGCCTCTCTAATGAGTATGTAGATAAAGAACTCCTAAATAAAATATTATCAAACTAATGCAGCAATGTATAAGAAAAATAGCATCTCATAATCAATTTGGGTTTATTCCAGAATGTAAACACGCTTTTACATTAGAAAACCTATCCATATAAATCATTATATTAATAAGTTAAAAGAAAAAAAGAACATAATTGTCTTAAAATATGAAGAGACCTATGAGTTTGCTATAAATATTTTGGTGGTTTTACAGAATGCCCACAAATTCTTTGAATGTGGGCTGGACTTAGTGATTCTCTTCTAACACACAGAATGTGGTGGAAGTAGTACTTTGTGACTTCCAAGGGTAAGTCAAAAAAAACCATAGCTTTCTTCTGGTTCTCTTTTTCTCTGGGATTGCTCACTCTGGGAGAACCCCACTAACATGCTGCAAGGACATTCAAGCAGTGGTTCACATAGATAGGAATTCAGCTCTCCCACTACCAACCAACACTAACTCACCAGCCATGTGTATAAGCTGTCCTGAAAGCAAGTCCTTAAAACTTATTCAAGACTTCAGATGATTACAGCTTTGACTGAGATCTTGACTTCAGGCCCATAAAGACCGTGAGTCAGAGTCACTGAGCTAAGCCACTACCAAATTCCGGACTGGCATAAACAATGAGAGATAATAAATGTTTACTGCCGTTTTGGGTGAAAAAACAAAAAATATTAATATAAGAAATAAAAAACTTGAACAGACTATAACCATATTAAAAACCTGAAATGATGAATAACCCCTGCTCTCTACTCCCTGTGGAGAAGTTGTAATCTAAGATAGTTTTACAATTAAATTCTATCAAGTTTTTAAGAAACAGGTTAATATCTATCTTTTTACAAATTGTTCTACAAAATAGCAAAACAGAACCATAACCATGATGGCCAATTTATTTTAAAAAGAAAATTACAGGCAAATCACTTATAAGTATATATTTTTTAAATCCTAAATAAAATATTAACTAATCTATGTTTAATACACATGCAAAAACTCATCTGCCACTGTTGAAGTAATTTTATCAGTAATTAAAGTGAAAAAAATAAACATTTCCTGCTTTTCTAACATTTAAGGTAACAAAATAGTCCTAGTTATTGAGGGAAGGTTCCCTTTTACACAAGATCTTCAGTCAATAAATGTAGAAAGAATGGTGGAATTACAAAAACAATGTTGCAACTCCTAATTACATAATTGACTTAGATAAGAATCATCAGTGAGTATCAATAACATTAAGTAAAAGATTAATTTAGGAAATTAATAGTTGGGCCCGGCTGTTGGCTCAGCCTGTATTCCCAGCACTTTGGGAGGTTGAGGTGTGAGGATTGCCTGAGCCCAGGGGTTTGAGACCAGCCTGGGCAACTTGATGAGACCACGTCTCTCCAATAAATCACAAAAATTAGCCAGGCATGGTGGCGTGCAACTGTGGTTCCAGCTACTTGGAAGGCTGAGACAGAAAGATTGCCTGAGCCCAGAAGGTCGAGGCTGCGGTGGCCGTGAGCATGCCACTGCACTCCAGCCGGGGTGACAAGAGTGAGACTGCAACTCAAAAAAAAAAAAAAAAAATAGTCACATTATAATTAAGTGTCACCCTCAGATTACTACCTATTAGTTACAAGGGGGTAACTATAATGGAGGGATCTATCACAATTGTATCACAATTTGATAATTAACTTTAACATTACTAACAGCTCAACAACAATCCATATGTGCTACTGATGTGATGCAAAATGAAGCATACAACATTATCTCTAAGATATTCTTGCCAAAGATGTTCAGCCTGAAGCAAACCAAGCTTTTAAATCGAATTTCCAGGTTAGAGGAAATACAAGGGATAGAGAAACAACAAGCTAAATGTGAGAAGCCATCAGACAAACCCAGGAGGTGGGTCATTCTAAGACCAATTGGACCACTCTCTTCAACAAATAGATATCATGGGTCAAAAAACATTATGTGTGTGGAGGATATTCTAGATTTTTAAAAATTGAAAACATATAACTAAACGCAACATTTGAAATGACAAGATTATGAGGGAAAAAACAAACTAATTTTTTTGAGGAAAAGAAAAATGTTTGTGAGGCTAAGTCTATTTTGAAAAAGAGGAACAGATGGTAACTTCCTATAGTCCCAGAAATTAGGATATAATACAAAGTCACAGTAATTAAAACTGGGCTAATTGTGTAGAATTGGACAAATAGATCCATAATAAAAATGGAAAGCCCAGAAATGTCCATGAATATATGGAAACTTACTGTATGACAAAGGCAGTATCAGGTATCAGTAGGGGAGAAAATAGACTAATAATTAGTATTAAGAAAAATAACTAACTACATAGAGAAAATACAGGTTGGATCCCTACCTCATACTATTTTTAAAAATATAACCCAGACGTCATGCGCCGAGAGTCGCCGTGGCTTCCTGCTTCAACAGTGCTTGGACGGAACCCGGCGCTCGTCTCTCGCCCCGGCTGACCCTACACCACCGCCACCGCCTCTCCGCGCCCTCCGCCCTCCTCGAGGCCGCCGCCGCCGCCGCGCCGCCGTCCCTGCCCGTCCTCAGCCGCCGCCATGACGACCGCGTCCACCTCGCAGGTGCGCCAGAACTACCACCAGGACTCGGAGGCCGCCATCAACCGCCAGATCAACCTGGAACTCTACGCCTCCTACGTCTACCTGTCCATGTCATACTACTTTGACCGCGATGATGTGGCTTTGAAGAACTTTGCCAAATACATTCTTCACCAATCTCATGAGGAGAGGGAGCATGCTGAGAAACTGATGTAGCTGCAAACCAACGCGGTGGCCGCATCTTCCTTCAGGACATCAAGATACCAGACTGTGATGACTGAGAGACCGGGCTGACTGCCATGGAGTGTGCATTACACTTGGAAAAAAATGTGAACCAGTCACTACTG